TGCTATCTATGAATATTCATTTCTATAATTTCCAACGCTTCTTTAAAAAGTTATAGACAAGCATTTCCATCAAAACGAGACAGCGGTCGAATGGAAATGTACCTTTTCTGACAACAAAAAGCTATTAACACAGGTAGCTAATATGTCAAGTTCACCTGCTGTTTTATTTTTTTCGTAGTTTTCACAAGACTTATAGCTGTGAACTGTAAAATAGAATATTGGAGTTTAAGGATTATAAGAATTTGAAGGATTATTTGAGATCTTATAAACGCTAATTGTTTCTCGCATGAAATTTATGAGTAATACTGAAAAACTGACGTAAATCTTGTATTTTGTTTTGCTCTTCTCTTCTCTGCTCTCCTCAGCAGTGAATTTGTTTTGCTTTGGTCTTTTTTCTAGATTTCTCTTATGCTTTGTTATATTCAGCAATATTTACATATGAATCACTTAAGAGCTAGCAATTAGGATATATCAGCTTGAAGATGTTGAGTGATATCAGGATGTATACGTAAATGGATACCAGGTGTGGTGAGCTACTCGGTAATTGCAGACGTGTTGAAAGCCCACCTACTGCAGATGAAAGTAAAGTAGGCAAGGCAGCATGCAGATCAGAGCAGAGCAGATAGTCAAACAATATTTACATACACAGTGTATGTTATGTTCTGCTTTTCTCTACGTTTTGMCTCCTACTATGCTTTGTTATGCTCTCATCTGCAGAGTGGCTGGGCTTTCCTTTGGCCAGGTTTTCAGAAGATCTTTTTTGYATTTTTTCCAGTATAATGATTCCATGTGAATCACTTGTGGAAATGATGATCAATTATTAACATTAGGGTATCAGTAYTACAGCTGCAACGTGTTGTTAGAAACATACATCCATCTTTCAKGGATACAGGACTACATTACACAATCCTTGAGGTTTTAAATATAAAACTAGAATACAAGATCGCTGCAAAAGGTGTAAGAGTCGATTACCGAAAAACCTACTGAATATGATTCAAATATGAATTCATTAATTTTGGATAATCAAGCATTGATTTGAAATTTCAAATTGTGAAGTTTCATATAATATTTGAATCTTATGTCTTTTTAGGTTGAGATGTGTAGATTTAAGTGGTGAAGTTAGGTGATATATAATTACATGCTCGTCAAGTCTTATAATAAATTCTATGTTTCTCTTAGGRATTATTACAACAAATGAAGTTTCTAAATTGTAATAAAGTCTTCACAAAAGCTCTTCTGAATTCTTGATTGCATCCAGCGTACACAAACACATTAACGCAATGGTTTGTATAAATCATACACACAGCGAACTTGACGAACTGCTTTGGAGCTTGAGGGCCGCCAAGCATCTCCACAACGTCAACAACCACTATCGGAGCCACCAACAAAATGAAAAACCCCAAAACATAAGATACAATCCTGGCTGCCTTCATCTGCTTGGCAGTGTTTCTTCGCGAAGGTGCTGGGTTTTGAGATGCTGCGGTTGTTGGCTCGTCTCTTGCAGGTTCCGATTGAGTTCCTGCGGATTCTTGTATGTTTATGCGTTTTGCATGCCTCATACTTGCTCTCAAAATAAAGCCATAAATAAGTACAACAGTTATTATAGGTATTGCATGGACAATAACATACAAAGACGTAATGTAACTTTGCGAAAGAAAGAAATGGAAACGGCAAATAGAAACGGGACCTTGAGGTATTTGGCGACCAAGTCCTGCTAAGGGAACAAGTGAGAAGATTATCATAAAAACCCACGCTGATATGATAATACAGAAGATGACTTGAGGAGTGACTTTCCTGAGGTAAAAGTATGGAAAAAATATCGCTACAAAACGATCAACGCTGATGAACAAGATGTTGAGGTTTGACGTACTGCCGAAWAATATAGATACTGGAATGGCAACCTGGCAAAGGGTGCGGATATCCTGACTGATGATAATAGACTCGGCTGTTCTTAATGGAACTGATATCAGACCTTGTAAAAAGTCTGTCAAGGCGAGATTAGCCAAGAGGTAATTGCTTGTTGTCTTGAGGCTGTTGTTGGAGTATATGGCGATCATCACGAGCAAGTTTCCCACTGTAGCAACTACGGAAATCACAATATAGAACGAACCAAAGAGAGCAGTTTCTATTTCATTTGTGTTAGTATCTTGCGTASTACCGTTGTTGTTCCAAAAGATATCCGTTATATTTGTAATTCTCTCCATTTTTTTTTCAGACGTTTTTTTTTTCAAGATGCGTTAAAGTGCACTAATTTCACATTGCATTGTAAAATTATAAAAAGTTTCCCTTAATGGAAATTAACTCCTTCACTGACAGAGGAAAAGACTTTCGATTGAATAACTGAGAGGCTCAAAGCACGTCAAAGTTGTACGTCGACAATTGACGTCTCTTCKATTAAAGCTACTTCTGTTCGTTGGATATCAAWACCTGTCAATTATGCAAGTTATATTTTGTGTTCAAAGCAAATGACATTTAACATCATTTTATGCATTAAATCTTTTAAGCGTGTCACTTCATTAAAAATTTACAACATAAGTTAAAATTTTAATAAACTAGACAATTGCAACTAGTAAAATTATGTTTTAMTACCAAAAAGGAAGATATATGATTTCTTATCAGATTTGGTTTTGCGATCAGTAGTACTATTTGTATTGTCGAAACACCTGTTTTTAAGACAAAGTGTGCTTTAATTAAAACATATCAAACACTCCAACGCGYATACTGGCTGCAATCGAGACAAATGCGTTCCAAAAAAGAAAGTGATTTTCATAAGAAGACTAAACAATCATCCTTTAATTTATAAAACAAATTTGATCGTAATTTTATATCTTGTGTAGGAGTACAAGAATTTTAATTATCGGTTATATTGGTCGACGGTCAGTAACAGAAAGGTTTTTAACACGATATAATCCCTAAGAGCTCAAATTGTGCATCACTAAAAGTTYTCATTTTCATAGTTTTTGCATAGATGCTGTTTTTGTACTCAAATTAGAACCGAAAAGCTTTCATTTTAAGTTGATTTAGAATAATATAAAATCTAAAATAGCAAATAACACAAAACCGTACACAGTACTAAGTTAGTAAAAAAGTCACCTACATGTAGTGTCAAACATATTGTAATCAGCGAAATATACTTGTATTGGCAATAAATAATAAGAATGATGATAATAAATGCATGCTTAACTCAAAGTRATATCTATCTGAAAGTGTGTTTCTGCATCTCATTATTATGTCTCAAATTTCAACAGTAAATGCAAGCATGTCAGATTGTGTCAATCCATTTAAGAGTTGGATTTTAACTGAAGCACTTTCTTTTTATTTCTTATGAATGACGGTTATAATGAAAACAATGAAAATTTTATTAAAAAAGTTTAAAAGTGAGTTTTTGTTTTTAATTGGGAACACACGCAGAGAATAGGAAATAGCAAACGAAATATCACTAACTGAATGACAGGGAGACAAAAAAGGTGAAAAACAGAAAGAGAATATGAAAGCAAAACCTGGAACATAGTTTATTTTTAACATTTTCCTCYCCAGTTATTTTATGTACGACCAAAAAGGTGACCTAGAAYTTGGCAAGTGGGCTATTGGGACTCATTTCTTCCTCACTCAATAGAAATTGAAAAGGAAACCTGAACGATTACGCTAGTAATTAAAAGGCGATCAAACGACAGCCAGTGTTGACATAAAAGATCATCCAAACTCGTGTTTGTATTATGAAGATAGCTAGACTTATAAACTCAAAGAAGAAGTTTACATGCGCAAATAAAAAAATTCCAAGCTAGCGAAAGTTGTCATCGTCTTTCCTAGTAATGACGCAAATAGGCATAACCATGACAACCGAGAGAGCTTATCTGAAGACTATTTACCAACTGAATGTAATTATTATCTCTCTCTTTATTAGTTTCTGTAGACCGATTGATGAGTGCGTTATTGATAGTTTTTGCGAACTCGAATAGAGAAGATAAGCTAAAGTTGTAAGGAACCCTCTCGTTATCATTATCAGTTCGGTSTCATCCGAACTTCATCCAGCTCGGCATGTCAGTCATCCTCGGCATAAAGTCATTTCAACCAAATATGGAGTTCACACATCTATTCAAAAAAAAACCTCCAAGGGAACTTTATCTTAATATTGRCAGCTTTGAAATGTAAGAAAAAGCCACACCAGTCAAATAATGCGTGTAAATCTTTATTATTTCAGTTACAGAACCGTAGGCTGTATCGAAAATAGGGTGTTTCAATTCTCAGTACGACCTTTTATCGTCTGACATTGAAAAAGAACACCATCACATCTGTATGTAAAAGTGTGGTTCCTTTCAGTGTAGAGTATCGATCATCTTAGCAGMCAAGTAATACGTAAATGTCTTTATATTTTCGTTGAATTCGCCAGTGAGGGGTTCGTCTGAACCCACCGAGCAACACTCTCCACACCCTACCCCCCTTCACAATCTTCCGTGCCTGAATTAAAAAAAACAGCTCTGCTGAATAATAATGGAAAGGAATCAGATAACAGATAAAATTGCGTCGTTTGTAATTCTGAGGTGTATTCAAGGCGACAGTTGAAACAACTGAGTTGATCTCGGTAACGACTGTTAAATCTCGATAGAATTGTTTCGGTAGGTTTTGGATGGAATCCCACAGCAGTAGCTACCCTTCAAGAATATCTTGCAGTTCGATCTGCATGCACGATTTCTAATTAGAATCTATTGAATCCTTAAGAAGAAAGCAGCCAATCACAGCGACGTTAAGCAGCTGCATAACTTGATATCGTGAACCTGACTGTTACACTTCGAATACGAGTTAACTAGGTAGTGTAATACCTGTATTTTTGATAACTCACTAAAATTGCGATAAGATTTTGGTTTTCTTTAATAACTGATTGCCGAGATTACAAACCAAGCTGTTTAAATTCATATTCATGATAACTGTCTACTTTTGCAAAATTTTGACATTCAAAAAAACGATTTCAAAAAGGGCATATATCAAAATGCATCTGAATTGCTCAACTTATTGAAGTGTCATGAGGTTGAGGAAACGTCGACGGCTAGGATAGCTACGAAAAGTAAATTAAATTCGGAATTATACCGTTTGAAAGTTTCTTTAAAATGACTCTATTTCAGCGCGTTGTCATGTCTCCAGAGTGTAGACCTTGGCAACGTTATGAATAACAAATGAGCTTCATAGCTATGGGGACGTTTTTTTGCGTTGATCTCATTATAGGTTTAAAAAATACACGAATTGCCCTATCCATACRAAGGAAATGCATCAGAAACTCATATACCTTTCTTCGACTGTTGGTTAAATGCTTTGCTACTCAGTTTTGTGTTTTTCAGCTGCCTGTTAGCATGTTTGCGAGTAGTTGCGTTGACGATAACAATGGGATGAATGCTAACTATTTTTGCTTTTAGCCGTGGAAACACGGTTTCCAAAAAAGAGGTGCTGGTTTACGAACCCGCTTAAAGAACTCATTCGTTAAAGTTCTTCTTGCCACGACTTCATCTGTATAAAAGTATTTTGCAACTAGATTTTGAATATAARTTTCAGAGTTATGATCCTGTGAAATCTATAACGTAAATTTAGAGACTTTTTATCCTCATCACAGCAACATCAGTTCCCTCAAAAAYTCTTTTTTTTTTCAGAACATTTTTGTGACAKTTTSATATCWTAAAAGACTAACTGTCCAAGGACATTCTAAAAGTAAAAATTTGGCTTAAAAATCTTTACAAGCGTCAGAACTTCGTTTCATCAATTGAAACTGATTTGAGGAAAGGTTTTGTAATAATGTCATCATCGTCCTTGTAAGCTTGAGAAAGAAATTCAGCCGCCCTGCTTTCCAGACCCATACGATAGCCTTCTCTATGGTATGCGCTGAATTGTGAAGGCGTAAACATTTGATTGAAAGTCGATTGGAAAGGAAAAATTCCCATTAAAGGATTCAATATTTTGTTAAATAACTTCCAGTGGCAGAACTCAAAGCAGCAACCAGATAATCGCTCAGCTTCAGACGTCGTCAATCCAGGTCCTCGACCCCAAGTAGTCTCGTCGAGATCGAGTTTAACCTCTCCGTCGCAGTCGCGCCATCTAAAGTTCTCAAACTCCTTGAATCCATCTTCAGGGTGTCTTGGCATTAGATATAGGATGTCTCCTTCACCAACTAACATTTCCTCTTTATCAATGATGTCATAGTAATAAACCTAAAAAAGTAAAGCAGATAATCACGTAATACCAAGCACAACGACGGAGCGAATCAGAACAGTAGGAAGGGTAGATAATAGTAGGGAATGTGAAGAGAGACAGTGGTGATGGGTAGATGGAAGTTGAAACGATAAGTAGAAGCATTATATACGCTATAAWTCCCTTCAAAACTAATGTAAAAAATCAATTGTCTTTTAATCATTGTTATTTTCATTGCCTTGAATAGATAGCTTCTCGGCTTTTTTCCGGTAGGCTTATCAACAAACTCAGCACGGACGTCTTCTTCGATGTCTCGACCGTTCATCCCTGTGAAAGAGCACCGAAGTTTTTGTCTCGCTTGTTTCACTGCTTTAAGAAGTTCCGTTGCATCATCCTCTCCAGGAAATAACACTCCACCATTTACCRCAACGATTYKTGGTAAACGTAGTTTTAASAGTGGAAGTATCCCAAGATTCTCTGCATGTCCACCATCACTCAAAGACATGATTGGAGGAGGAACAGAACCAACATTGGTCACCCCAAATATGGTGCGCATAATCCTGACGTGAATGATGTTGATTATACACCATCTTGATGAAAAAGAGAAACAAAATATTCAGTACAAAACAAAGCCAGTACAATCACAAATGAACTATTCTGACATTGTTTATGGTGATTGGCTCTAACCAAAAACTGCGAGATGTTGGAACTAAAAACAGCKTAATAGTCCTGAGTCAGCACTAAAAAAATCTGTTTTATTATGTTTATGCACTTTTCCATCGCAGCCGCTGGGTTACTTATGTAATGAGCTCGAATGTTTCCGACATTCAAGGTCGCAAGTACAGCGAAGCACCAAATGGGCTCACTATATTGAAAGGCTAAAACGACGATCGGTCTCCTCTTTTTAAGGTCTTTATATAATTGTCTGGATCGTCTCAATAGCTTCATAGCCGACTTTAGATATTTTGCTTCAGTGACCATGCACAAAAAAATTGCAGACGAGGCTCCGGGGAAATAAAAGAATAAATCAATATTATCCATTGYTTTCCGGAGCCTCGTGTGCGTTCTTTTAGTCATCGATCGAGCCAAAATATCTAAAGTTGACTATTCAAAGGCATRAGCTAGTCTTATTATTTATTCCTTTGATAATGCTATAAAAATTATTAAGTTTCTCTATACGCAAAACCAATAGTTTTACAAGAACTATCAGCAATTTTCTAGTCTGTAGCATTTGCTAGTCAGTATAAATGATACAGCAGTTTTAGTAGGATATCACCAAAGAATTTTATAGCATTTTTAAAATATTGCATTATTAACACGCCGTCATCCGCTGTTTTTTTCATTATTATTGACTCTTATCATTCATTATGATTAATGTGGCATGGTAGACCGAAAGTTTAAATAAACCAGCCTTTTTAGTTCGTATTTTACATTGAGAGTTTAACCTACAGCCAATCACTCATCGCAGGTTCGAACAGCATCAACAAATATTGTTAGATTTGAGATTACAGGCAAACCATTCGTTGATTTGAACAATCTTACCTTACAAATTTGTCAAAATATCCTCTACTAACATCACCAGTTGGTAGCACGGCGATAATCGACATCAACAAAAAACAGCAGATGAATGTGATCACCCCAAGACGTACCCAGAAATCCCAATCCTTAAGAGCCTCAAAGTACAGTCCAAGTGGCAAAGCGATTATAACTACGCCAAAGAGCAATTGAATAATGAAGGTGATCCCCTTTAAAATAGAATCGAATTATATCAATTTTAATTAAAATTTGTTTTTATAGACGATATTGCATGGGCGCGCAGAGACACGGATTTTATCTTCGAGTGTTGAAAAGATCTCTCACGAGCGAGCGTAGCGAAGTACTAACATCTGAWCATCAGTTCCAAGGTGTTTTGTGTGTAAAATAGCAGGGGATTCGTGTGTACAATTTCCATTTGAGTTTGCGAGCAATGAATGATTGTGCGAGAGTATCAATTTATAAGTTGTAGCGTGTTTCTAATGTTTGCTGGTAAAACACTACAGTATGTTTCTTTTATGCGAAAGTTGTAACATTTAGTCTAACATGGTTTGCGTAAGAAATCAATGCAAGTGTTCCTTCTATGTCAAAAAAGCTCACCAATGACATCCACGACTTTGTTAGACCAGGCTGTGCCAAAAGAATATTTCCAAAGCCAAGCCCAAGTAAAACTCTTATTTCACGAAAAGAGTGGCTTCGGTCTTCAAAGCTTCCGAGATCGTAAGACAGCACAGCAGCCGATGTCATCATTGCATCCGAAAGTGAAATATCTTTCGGCTTCAAAAATCCTACGATTAAAATTATATGGTTATTCAAAAATTTCGATTCTAATTTGCTTCTCTAATCATACCAAAAAAACGAGTGTTCGTTCGAATCACCCCAATGCAAAGATTTATTTGTATTTAGGGTAATCCTGTTAAGATTTATTTTCGTGCATTTTTATCWGCCTGGATTTACCTTTGGAAGAACCATCCATTAGGGACTGCGCAGTAATTATCAAAATTTGGATTCTAATTTGCTTCTGCATTTATTCCAAAAACGAGTTTCATTCGAAACACCTCAATAAAAAATCTGGATATCTGCCATGAACCACCAAGCCTACCTTTAGCACCAAACTCTGGGTCGTCTTCGTCACGATCAATCCTTTCGATTGATGTTGGCGAGAAGGTAAGTATCTCAAAGTCTTGTTCATCAAGAGCGTTCGATTTACGCCAGTTATTAACAGTAACATTGCATTTCAATGAAGGCTGGACGTCGACTAAATCACTCATCGTTACCGTCCTGTATTTCTCTGCATTAGCTCGAGAGCAGCTGCAGAGCCTTAGTAAAGCTGCAGAACGACTCTCAGGAGAAAAGTATGTTCTTTCGTGTTTCCACCTATAAACGATCAAAAAATATCATAGCATATGGCAACATCGACCATCATGCGCTAGTTCATYATAATGGTCGTTTAGGCTTAGTCTAGAGAACTGGTTTTAAGGTTGGGTGGAGCCGAATAGTTCTCAAACGATCTTTTAATTGTAGCAAAATATTCCTATTATAGCTCCACACCCGAGCAAGATTGCCTTCATAATCTGGACTGCCTACAGTAAATTTTTTCGGAAAACTACGTCTTTTAAACATCAAGTGTAAAAAAATCACCAATGAAAAATAATAAAAAATTATAATGCTTAATGCATTAAATGATGTGGTATTAAAATTATACCACAAGSAAAAAATCGTACTATAAAACTTTTGCTTTCTGCTTTCTTGAAAAAGAAAGACAAAAGGTCTTCCGTGCTGGGTCTGCACTAGAATTGAAACATCACACTAAAGACTTACGTTGCATAAGCATGCCAAGAGTACATCTGTATCATCACGATGTATGGATGAATCCACAGTAAAATCCCAGACGCCCACACCATCTTCCAAAACAGACTATGTGTGTATTGAATACCGAACAAGTCGGTTTGGTACACTCTCCATTTGATGAAATAAGCAAAGATCAGAGCCATGAGTGCCAACGATGTCTTGTCTCTCATAGAAGGCAATCCAATCCATGCTAATAGAGTGACACCCAAAATAAAGAAACGAGCCCATGGTGGGGTGAAGCTACTATACGTTTCAATAAACGTAGGTAGGAAGATCATAGTTAACGTGTATATCGATACCTGGGCKATAAGTACCAGGAAGTACTTTGGGGTTCGTCGCCTGGTAAGTGTGCTGAGGTAATACGATATTACAAACACGGTGAACAAGCTGAAGTATACGTTAAACATATTAAGCATTTGTGGGCCAATTTTGGGGATGCATCTCCGTATTAGAACTTTATGTGGCATTCCAGGTATTGTGATGTTAGCGTTTTCTTCGAAACATGAGAACTGGTCGCGAAGTATGCTTCCAAAGATATAGTCCAGAATTATCACGGTAGGAATAAGCAGTGAAAATCCTTTAACAATAGTTATACCCAGAGACCAGAACAAAATCAAAAAGAAATTTGCGGCTCCATCTGAAAAAGTACAAAAATGTCATCGATAAGGTTAAATGAAATTGCAAAAAGGTATGTATTCTTTAAATATCTACTTTGTAGTACTATACATATTACGTGTCTTATTCGTAAATTGCGAAAAAAAACAATTTCCGGCATTATTTGACCTATTACATGCTAGTGTGAGTGGAGTGGTATATAACAATGTAAAGTAAAAAAATAACGGCACAAAAATAGATATTTAAGACACGCTGTAATTGCATATTGTTTTGCATATTAAAGCGTCTATATTTGACACACAATTTAATGCTCAAATTTTGGTTCATGGTTTTAATGACTTCGCTATACATGACGTCAGTGTTCTAGCTGTCCCGTGATCAGATCATAGGGCATATTTTGTATGAGTGGTACACCGTTACCGCACGGTTACCACACAGTTACCGGACCTGGCCTGCACAATTTTGGTGAACCAATGGGGCTCTAGAATAATCCAGTTTCGAATTCTGCAATGCTCTGTGTTAGCCTCATTTGTGCGCAAAATATTCCTAATTGTGAGAATAAAAGTGTGAGATTTCAAATAAATTTCATTGTTTTTCTTCGCAAATTCCATGCATTTTCTCGGGCTACTAATAAAACAAAAGAATATTTTACTTGGTTTTGAGGCTAACACAGAGCAAACCAGAACTCGAAATTGGAGTATTTGGTTACAGTACGATCACGGTCACAGTACAGTACCGTTCGTTTTCCATTCATACGAAATCTGCTCTATTATTCACTTACGCAGCCTTTTCACTGATAACACAATCGCACAAGCAACTGCAAGGGTTGATTCGATCCGAGTTAAAATAATGACGTGAACCACCACGTGTTCCAGAGCGTTTCTATGGGATGAGTATAAATCAAATTGGTACTGCCAAGCGTAAACGCACGAGAAAAGAAAACTTGTGATATGTCGAACTTTCGTCATTGCGGGTTTTCACTATGCCTTTTGCGTTTGTGCTTGCGTCGCTTGTAAAAACAAGGGCTAAATTGTCAGTCGAAATAATTACTATCTGACTGTTTGTATATTTAGTGCCGCAAGTTTGACGGAAATAATTGAAATAAATTTATACATGTGTTTTAAAACATAATTACTGATGTACTTCATACCTAAAATACCAATACATGGACGATAACAATCACAAAGGGCATTGCTGTGCTCACGCATCCGTTCAAAGAATTCTTTGTGCCATACTGGGTCGTCTGATGATTGTTTGCGATATTTCCAGTCCAAGTAAGACACCCCTGTGTAACCCCCACCAGACACTGTGCTAAGATAATCGATAACAACGTTTTTTTGAAGAAGCCTACGCAAAACACCAGAACAWAGAGCTGCCGAACGAATTCCACCTCCAGAAAAGGCAAGACCAGTTTTCTTCATGTCCATGATCAATTCTGTGATCTGGAATATAAGAATAAATGTAGAGATTTAAGCTTTAATTATTGATAGCACTATTTCAATTAGATTTTTTTGAAARACAAATAGATCGGTTTAAAATACACGTCTAAAATCTGCTTGTATTTAAGGTAATCCTGTTAAGATATATTTTTCTGCATTTCTATCAGCCTGCTATCATTTACCGCAAGAACCATCCATAAGGGACTGCGTAGTATAATCATCAGAAGTGGAAGAGGTAAGAATAGAGAGAGAAAAACGGAAAAGTTGTGGCATGCATGTTAATGCCTGAGAGATGCTTTGTGGGGGTTCTAAAATCAATTTATTTTTGTCCTGMGCATGCAGTTGTTTTCGCTTTAAACATTACAAAATTTGGCATGGGCATGTATCCTGACGTCGTCCTTAAGATTTTTAGGTGGAATTTTGRTCAAAATGACAGGAAAATATGCAATTCATGTGGATGATAGGCAAGGTGTTTATTAGATTTTTAAAGATTTTGTACATATTTAACGAGTATGAGGTATATGCAATACTAGGCCAGCTATTATGCTCATTGTAGTGCAGGTCTACTGCGGGGACCAAAGTCATTGTAACTCTTGGCGACTTTGTGCCATTTTAGAAAATATTGYTTAGAACCGCTCAAAATATGTAAAGCGATTTTGATCGACTTTTGCTTCCCGGTCCCGGAGTTTTTATAGCTAGCTGTCTCGCGCTAAGAGCCCTTTTAACATGGTCAATCAGGCAAAGCAATTAACAAAAGGTTTTGGAATTTATTATCGCAACGTGGACCTTATGAATTTTACACATGGCTTCATTCGTGTTTTTTCGACAGAAAAAAAACACATCTATTACTCGGGAAAAATGAATTTAGGGAACGAGAAATGTGACTTTGGCATGTATATATAGTTTTATGGAATCAAAACTTGTGTTTTGATGTCTAGCATGTTATTTTTAATTCAAAAACCTGTGTATATTTTAAAGTTGTCCAGAGTTATCAGAAGGATTCTATATTGAGACCTATAATCTCTTGAGATCTGACTTGTAAACCAGCATAAAACGCTTTAGTCATTTTGATGTACATTTCTAATTTTCAATAATTAGTTGCTCGTTTGCAAGTGTTTATACGCAGCCCAAGCTTTATAATCTTAAAGAACTACTGAAATTAAGCTACATAGATTACTGCATAATTGTACGTAATTTAATGATGTATAGATCAACACGTCATCAACAAACCATGTAGAGCTACAGATGGAGCTAGTTAATGGAAAACATTACTATRTCCGCAGTTGCTGCAACATAGACGCAGTAATTAAGCAGAACTGAGAACGTTTACTCTTTACAACTTCTGGCTATTTCATTAAGGTTCAGTTCGATTACGAGCTCAATTTAATGAACTTCGTACGGTCTGTTTACTTACCTCAAGCGTCCCTTATAATTACCAGTTGATAGTGTCTTTTAAGAATTCAGTTCTCTCTGTCCTGGTAATTTTTGCTCTTGTAAGTGTGCGTATATGCACAGTAAGACCGATGTTCTCGATACTTGACATCTAAGGAAGCTACATTATTTAACCACATTCTTTAGGCTGTTCATGTCGACTGTACGCTTTTGACGTCACAGAAGAAAGGATATAGAATAGGCTTCTGGTATTTACAGTGAAACGAGGCAGTAATGCATATCGCTTAATTATAACCACTTTCCTAAGTGCTTATTTTTGAAATTGATTTTTTTAGTTTTCAAATTGAAGGAGTCATTAATAACGCGAATTCCAGTTTATATATTCCATTTGATTACCGGTATGTCTTGTTCGACATGTATGTATGTGAAACCGAAACATGGAATTCTGCAAATTTAAATAGTTCTTTATACGTTTTTTCACTTTCTCCTTTGTTTTGCTTTGTTTCGTTTATTTTGGCAAACACATATTACTTCAGTAATATTATTAATGAAGATTTTTGTAGATAATAAAAAACTATAAATAGTTTTCAATTAATTGATAGTTACGTAATAAAGTAGTTCGTTCCGGCCTTTTGAAAATCTACTCTCTAAGTGCTTTCACTTTTTGAGCTATAGCAATCAACAAAGACAACTTGTTTCTCTTTCATACAGGTATTCATCCGCTCTTGTTCAATATCTGGGTAGTGCTCTAGAAATTATATCCAAAATGCTTTGCTTTTTTTAAATTAATTTTTTTTTTAAACTTTAATCTTCTTTTGATGTCTTTTGTTGTTGTTGTTGTTGTTAGCAATCAACAAAGACAACTTGTTTCTCTTTCATACAGGTATTCATCCGCTCTTGTTCAATATCTGGGTAGTGCTCTAGAAATTATATCCAAAATGCTTTGCTTTTTTTAAATTAATTTTTTTTTTAAACTTTAATCTTCTTTTGATGTCTTTTGTTGTTGTTG